GGAAGCCTGCTTCTCCCTCTCCCACTCCCCCTGCTTGTGTTCCTTCTCTCTCTGTCAATTAAATAAATAAATAAAATCTTTAAAAAAAAAATTCAACACCAAGTCTCAGGGGACTATCTAAATTCCCTCTCGGGGCATTCAGATTCTATAGGCTCTCCAGGAGAGCTATTCCATGGCTGCCCACAGCTGTTATCCTGGAATTTCCTTTCAATATAACCTTGAGAATTCCCTTCCCCTCTCTACTGTTCTTCAATCCCCTCATTGGATAGATACTGAGCGCATACTACCTGCCGGGCATTGTTTTAGGTACCGGGATAGAGCAATGAACAACACCATGAACCAAAATGTTTCTCCCGACTTGGAGCTTACCTTCAGAGGGGAAGGACGGGCAACAGGTAAGAAAAATACTTGGGATGTTCATTCCAGGCCTCTAAGGCCGGTTCGATATTCAGAGATCGATCGACCAATGTAATCTTCCATATTAACAAGCTGAAGAAGAAAAATCACATAATCACATCAACTGATGCAGAAAAAGCATTTGAGAAAATTCAGCAGCCGAAAGGCAATTTGAGGAATTCCATGATGATGCAAACGTGCCATGTCTTCACTGTAAGGCTAGGCGGGTGGTGGCTCCCAAAGATATGTCCGCATCCTCATGTCCGGAACCTGTAAGTGTTACCTTATTTGGAAAAAAGGTCTTTGCGGAGGTAATTAGATTAAAGATTTTGAGATGAGGAGATTATCCCGGATTATCCCTGTGGGCTCTACATACCATCACAAGTGGCCCTTATAAGAGCTAGGCAGGAAATTGCACATGCACACATAGGAGAAGGTGATGTGAAGGCGGAGCCGAGAAAGATGGGGCCCACCAGCCATCAGAAGCTGGAAAAAGCAAGGAACGAATTCTCACCTAGACCTTCTGGAGGGAGTAGGGCTCTGCCTATGCCTCGATTTAGAAATTCTGGCCTCCAGAACTGTGGGAGAATAAATTACTATTGTTTTAAGCCACCCAGTTGGTGATAATTGTTACAGTGACCACAGGTACCTAATCCAACCCTACAGTGATATCCTAGTTGTGATACTGTACTATAGTTTTGCAAGATGTCAGCACTGGGGAAAACTGGATAAGGAATACCCAGGGCTTCTCTGTATAATTGCTTTCAACTCCACGTGAATACACAATGATCCCAAAATAAAAAGTTTAGGGGTTTCTGGCTGGCTTAGTTGGAAGAGCATGAGACTCCTGATGTTGGGGTTGTGAGTTCAAGTCCCATGCTGGGCACAGAGCTTACTTAAAAAAAAAAAAAAGTTTAATTAAAAAAAAACAACAACAAAAACTACAGCTCAGGGTGCCTGGGTGGCTCAGTCGGTTAAGTGTCTGCCTTCGGCTCAGGTCATGATCCCAGGGTCCCAGGATCGAGCCCCAAATTGGGCTCCCTGCTCAGCAGGAAGCCTGCTTCTCCCTCTGACCTTCCCCCTTCTTATGCTCACTTTCTCTCTCACTCTCTTTCTCTCAAACAAATAAATAAAATCTTAAAAACAACAACAACAACAATAACAACAGCAGAGAAGGGAGATGAGAAGTCTTGCCATGGGGGGAGGAAGGGACCCCAAGTACAAAGTCCCTGGGTTTACGGGCCTGGTGTGTTAGAGGGGCCGCTGTAGAGCTAGAGGCTCGAGGTCGCAGGGGTAATGGCTTCTGTGTGTATAGGGGGGCGCATACAGGGCCTTGTAGGCTATTTGGGGATTTTGAATCTTACTCTGAATGAGACGGGAAGCCACTGGAGGAATTGAGCAAGGACGGACATGATGGACCAATATGGCGGCCATGCCGAGCAAACACTGTATGGGGAGAGCCAAAAGCAGGGAGACCAGCCAGGAGGCTATTGCTGTCATTCAGGTGATGGGCCATGGCAGGTTCGAACCCAAAGTAGTAATCAAGATGGTGAGGAATGGTTGTGTTCTGAGTATATTTTGAAAGCAGAGCCAAGGGCATTTGTTCTCAGAATGATCACGGGTGGGAAAGAAATATAGGAGTTGTGATGGGTACAGGATGGGGCCTGAGCCTGGCTGGAAGGAAATTGACTCACATGGGAAAGGCTGGGAGGAGCATGTTTGAGGGAAAAATAGGGAACTCCATTTTGGACATAAGTTAGACATTCAAGAAGAGATGTCGGGGCGCCTGGGTGGCTCAGACGGTTAAGCGTCTGCCTTCGGCTCAG